AGTGTGTCAGAACATGGGCTGCCAAAAGAAGATGCTACTCTGCTCACCTCTGGCAGACTCCCCAAAAAGAGAGAACATGCAGGTCACAAGCATTGTTACAGCAAGTCAGAGCACTGCAAGAAACCATTCTCTCCATTTCACAGAATGGAAGAATTACAGGGGTTGAAGAGACCTCTGAAGATCATCAAGTCCAACCCCCCTGCCAGAGCAGGGTGACCCAGGGCAGGTCACCCAGGAACATGTCCAGATGGGTCTTGAAAGTCTCCAGAGAAGGAGACTCCACAACCTCCCTGGGCAGCCTGTCCCAAGGCTCATTTCTCACATAGGAAATGGAGGCATACAGTAAATAGCTCCTAAAAGATAAATAAAGCTATAAAGGAAGGGAACAGACACTCACTGCATGTTAGCAGGTTGGGTGAAAACCTGTGCTAAAAAGATACACAGTGAGTCATGAAACCAGCCAGCATGCCTGGGAGACAGTTCATCTGTATTTTATGTGACACTAATACACACCTTGGGAACTCTGGGAGGACTCTGTAGAGGAAGAGCTGCTCTCAGTGTAGGTTTGTGGTTCTTCTTTGACTTCTGGGAGAGATGAATTTCCTGTCTCTGCTACCCTTGATGCCTGCTGTAACGTTTCTGTCACCAACTGCCTGGTTTGTTCACTCACAACTGTTGCTTGAAATGTCACTGGCTTTGGTTTTATGAGAACCTAATTAGGAAGACAAATTTTATGTATATTAAGAACACTCAAGGCAAAGATGATCTGAGCAATCAGAGAACAGGATGCCACACAAATAGATCAGTGTACAAGACCTACATAATATTAATAATTTACTGAAAAAAATCAGCAGCTCTTGATTATTAAAACAAAAAAATGTCAAATAAATGGCAGTTCACAAGAATGTACTTCTTGCTCAGTAATTTAACACAATAAACCATATTCAGGGCTGGAAACAATTATGGTGTGACAAGAGAAAGCTAAACAAGTGAGCTGTAACATGCAATGCACTTGTAAGGACAAGCACCTCTCTTCTGCAGCCCACAATAAATATAGTCTTGAATGATCAAGACATGCAAAACATTATACCTGTTAACAGTTCAGTTATTTAAAATAGTAAGTGCAACCAGAGAAAAAGCTCAAACTGAGTGTCCATAAATAAGCCAGATTCTCTGTATACAGGCCCACCAATTACACAAGGTTGCAGAGACAACCTGAACACACATTAACTAGAAAAGAACTTCAATAAAACTATCACATTTGATGGATGACCTTTGTCCATACTCTGCATCTTTATCCCTCAGCATCTAGCCATTAGCTGTAAGACTTAAACAGGCACCTAGAGCCATGACCAGACAGTTTCAGCTATGCAAAAGGCTTCATAAATCCTTTAGGCTTGCTCTAGGCCTCCAGAAACTGCTAACATGCAAACACTGTGCTCGAGAAAACAGTATCAAGACCACCTAATTACACCCCTAAGTCTCATTTCCCATAAACACACATTAATCCTGCAACAAATGTGGCAACACAGTGAAAAATTATTTACTTCCCATGAAAATTTAGGGGTACATTTTAAGACAGAAATGGGTCCTCACTGTACCTGCGTTTTCCCTTGCTGACCATAAACAATTTTAGTTGGGATGATTTTGGTGGCTGGCTGGACCGTGGACCCTATTCCTTTTGGCTGTGTAACAATCATTTTTGTGATGGGTCTTGTGGCAGTGATGATAGCAGGTTTTGCTCCTGCTGGCACTGCCTGAATTGTTTTCTCCCCCTGTAGAGAAGTCAAAGTTTACAAGTTAACTTAGTGAAATTCTTCAGAGAGACCCACTTCTCTAAAAAAATACACAGTTATAGGTGAGTGTGTGTACCATGAAATCAACTTGCTGCTGCTGTAACTACATTTGATACAAAAAACATTCAAAGACCAATAACAAAAACCCCCATGGCTCTGAATGGAAAAGCTACCAAAATCCCCTTTTCCATTTCTTTACCTTTTGAGCTGCTATGAAGGGGTAAACCAAAAACAGTAACTAAAAGACACTGGTAAGTTTTTACAAGTTGCTTTCAAGAATTCACGTAAGTTAGAACTTTCACCAAATCCTTCAAAAACGTTTTTTAAAACCTTATTCTGCTAACACTAACTTTGGCAAGAGATCTACAAAACCTGAACTGAGATTCTAACAAGAAATTATTTAAACACAGATCTTTGTATTGTCCTCATGATCAAGACATTCCTTATGTGTGGACATTTTTCGTTAAACTAAAAGTTCACTTATGAAAAAAAAGTGGGTTCACAGCTGTTTCACAGGAAACATTTGACTCTGGAATAGTGTGGATGTATGACTAGACTCCTCATAGCTTAAGAAGAACAATGACATTGAGAATGTTTTTCTTCAGCTCTGCACAGCATGAAATCAGATGAGGAACAACATTAGTTGCCAGTTCTCCCAGTATTCCTACCAATTCCCTTCAAGTAGCTGGAAATCTCAAGAATCATGCTTGTTTCAGATAAATCACCACACACTAGTGGCTCCTACTGTATAACAAAAGAGATTTCCACTTCTGTGAAAATACAGCTTAAAGTTTTATAAACTAGGAAAGTTCAAAATCTTCACAAATAATATCCTGAAGGGCTTAAAGAAACCCCCTGTACTCAGCTCTGCTATTCAAGTAGACATGTAAAGATTGCACGATTAATGCACTAAATCTCACAGTTCCTTTCATAACTTTTAGTTACTAGCACTTCCAGATAAACCTGGTTGAAGTTGGAAACTCTGCTTTGCTTTTAGTACACATCAGATTATCCAAAAAATAACTGAACACTACACAACACTCAGGCACAGGATACTACACACCACAGAAATTGAAAGCTGGTGGTACCTCTACTGTCAAGGGTCACTTTATTTCTGCCCTTTACATCCAAAAGATAAAACAGTTGGAAATGCAAGTTTATCACACAGGACTGTGGGTTCTCAGCACAAAGAAACTAAGATTCTAGTAATTTTCTTCTACTTAATACCTTCAGGATTACAAACCCCTTAACAGTGAAAAAAGGGCAAGCTCAAAAGTTTTTATTTCCCTTTAATTATGAGAACATTCTCAGCTTGCTTTAAGCACCTTTCATATCCTGCAAAATGTACTTGCTTTTCAAACATCCTTGGCAACAAAGCATGCTGAATCTGTTAAGGAGCTCATGCACAGTTTGCTTTTAACAGAGACTTCAGCAGGTTGAATGCAGCAGCCACCAGGCAGCCCGTCACTTGGCTATTGATTTGAGACTTGAAACACTTACCCCAGCATTCAACAGCGTTGTGACAACATTTTTGCCTGGAAGCCCTTGAATTGTAGTTCCTTTTCCAGTAGTCTTTTGCACAACAATCACATTGGGTTTGGATGTCATTGGAATGGTAGTGATTTTGGTTGTAGTTCCTACATTTTAGTGGGAAAAGAAGTAATGTGCAGTTTATCACTTGTATATTTCCCTCTGTTATAGAAGCTGGTGAGTTAATATAGGAATCATGGTATCTGGGAAGGGAATTTGTGTCACCCAACTCAACACATAAAGATTAGATGCCAACTCTACAGATATTTCACCTACAGCACAAACAGGCACAGCCAGGACAGTAAATTATTCTGTACCAGGCCAGTCAGACCTTTCTCACAAGCTACAGAGCAGACTAACAGAAGATTTATCAGGCTAACAGGTCAAACTTCTCAAAGGATAGAATTAAGGGGGAATGAGGACACCACTAATACTCAACTCAAGGTCCTATATTTGCACAGACAAGTATTCTTCTACAGGTAACCTCTGTAGAAGAATCCACATGCCAAGAATGTATCTCCAGTCAAGAGAAATATCAGCTCTTTCTGGCACTGAACTGTTGTAATACAAGTGACAAGTAGTGGGTTGAAAGAAGGGGAAAAAAGAAAAATATGCTACTGTTTTAAAATCAGTTCTTGAATGTTAAGAAGTATGTGAGGGAGTCTTTTTCTTTTCCTTATGACATGGTTTGGCTCTTTCTGTTCCTCTCCCAGGGTTTCATTAGTTCCATTCCTTGTATCAGGTTTTTATTTGCCTGAACTGACAGGTAATTCTAGTTAACCCTCCACAATCTACAAGAGTACACAGACCAATATGTAAGACATCAATGTTATTAGCCTGCTATTTCAGTATCTAATCAGCTTTTTATCACACCTTCCACTTTCTCCTTGAAAAAAGTACCACTCAGTCACAGCAAAGCTGCAAACCCCAGGATACCTCTCTCTACTTTCTACCCATTAGTCACTCCTGCAGATATTTCCCTGGGTATTTCATATTAATAATTCTATTAATTCTGGGAGAGATCATTATTTACTTAATTCTAATGACTTCAGAGGCATCTAAAGGCTGCTCCCTTAGTAAAACCCCAAAACATAAAAATAAAAAACCACCAAACAAAAAAATCCCTCCACAGAACAACAACAACAACAAAAAAGCAGTTATCCTTTCCAAACTTGTTTCATTACAATTTTTACTTTCCTTATCAAGACCAGCCAAGTGTTTCCCTGCATAAGCTGGTGCTCAGAAGAATAATACTTGAATTTGTGTATAAACTTACTAGTAGATCTAGAACTCATCATAAGCACAACAGGCTGTAAAAGTTGTTCCCAAAGAAGCTACAGCCCTAAATAACATTTTATAGAAATCAGGGTCTGCAGCATGTGCAGCACCTTCCAGTGACAGGAGCTGACTGGTGACAGGTCTTTGCTAAGTACCAACTATGGGACCTCCAAATCATTAAAGATACTGCTAGACAGGATGGACAAACCCAGCAGATCTGGCTGCACATATGCACCTGGCTGGGAAATGCAGCAGAACTTCTATGCATCAGCAATGTTTCAGTTCAAAACAGACAGTGAGAAATTGTAACTGGTGTGAGTGTGCTTGGTCCTGAGGAGACCCTGTATTTAGAGTCTATAGTGGCCAAGAGGAAGGCTGGTCAGGAGGCTAACAAGATAAGCAGCAGAGTCTGCACAAGGCTTGGAGGAAAACTGAAGTTAGAACATTGGGTAAGAGAAAGACAGCCTGACACTGAAAGAAGAACAAGATAACGTGGAGACTGCACAGCTGAATTTAACATGCACAGTTAATTTTTATTCTGGTTCCTTGGACATGCAGTGGAATAGAAAAGGGCAACATCCAGACTATAAAATGCTCTAAATTGGGACTAATACAGTTTTCTGATCTTTCTGCCCTCTAACAGAGGACAACAGAATAGCTGTTCTCCTCTATGTTTCTCTTTTCCTCCCAGACTTCCCTCAAATTAGATGTTTCCTTCTGGAGGAAACACAAGAACTACTGCAATCCTTAAGAACACTTTATGTCCATAATTTCTACCCATTATTTTCTTCTTCACTTGCTATCTTTCTTCTGAATTAACTTCTTCTCCAATCAAGATCCTACACATTCATTAAGCATGTAACCCACAGAAAAGCCCGAAATAATCAGAGCAAGCCTAAAATTACTTTTGAAAAAAGTCTTGATATCAAAAGTATTCATGTGCCTACCAGAAACAATATTACTGCTGATAATCTTCCCTCCCAGAGTAGCCAGTGATTTGGGTACTACAGTGATGATGCTACCACTTGTAGTTTTCACATAAGTAGCAGCCCCTGGAGTTCCAGCCACCCGAGCCCCTATCGAGGGGCTCACTGCTGGTCGTGTATATGTTGCTTGGGTTCCTGTTTTAAAGAGAGAACAAGAAAGTTTGCTGTTAGGACATGATCCTCTACTGGTACTTGTGGAAAAATTAAGTCAGTTTAGAAGAAAAGCTTAAGATTTTATTCAGAGACCCCACACTGCAACTTTTTACCACCCTTCGCAATTCTTACTCCTATGCGAACTTGCAGAGCAAAAGTCAAATATATCATCATAGAATGGTTGGAGTTGAAAAAGACTTAAAAGATCAATTAGTTCCAACCCTCCTGCATGGGCAGGGACCCCTCCCACCAGACCAGGCTGCTCCAAGCCCCATCCCACCTGCCCTTCAACACTGCCAGGGATGGGGCAGCCACAGCTTCCCTGGGCAACCTGGGCCAGTGTCTCACTACCTACATGCTGACTTCAATTTAATGCAAGAGTTTTCTTAAGTATTTTATCAAATGGTCCACGACTGCTGTATTTTAATTCACATCCTTGTGCCTAAGATTCTAACTTTCAATAGGTATTTAGATTCTGCCTGTATGTTTGCCACTTGCTCCTTCAGATGCCCAAGACATTTGATTCTGAGGCATGACGACACTATCAGAACTGACCCCTTGCTCTCCTGAAAGACACACTCTCACCTCTCCTGTATGACAAATTGTTTATAAAGAACACTCTCAATAACTGGTCTAAATATAATTCTATAAGAAAAATATCATTTACAATGATCACCCAATTTTATAGATCTAGCAGTACAAAAGAAACATCCTGATATACTATAAACGCTGCTTTTTCCTACCTACTCCTTCTCAGAATGGAAACAGAATTGATTCCACAAAATAAACCTACTCAAAACAATAACACAACAGCCACACAAACACTAATTCCATTCTGCTTGTACTGCTGCAGACAGTGCACTGCAGATCTTAATTGCTAAAGATCACAGAGCAAAACAGTTTGTTAAGACAAGAAAGTCATGTGTTCAAAACCAAGAGCCCAATACAGGTTTTATAAATTTAACAAACTGCAAAACTGCTAGACATTTTTTTTTATGTACTTCAGGATGTTTTTGTGAAGTACTTCAAAAGTTAAAAAGAGAAATAACCATTAGTTTATGCTAATATTCCCAAGCCACATTAAAAATTCAAGAAGCAAGTCTTCTGTAAGCTAGGATAGAACTGCCTTTCAAGTCTTTCTCATGCAAGTTTGCCATCTGAACAGGATGCATTATTTCTGATTTTTTATGATTAAGGAAACACAAATACAATTAGATCCCAAAAAAAAACACTGGGAGTTGAAAATTCAATTTACTGGCCTTTTTACAAGTTCACTGCAGGACTATGAGCAAGTCACCTGTCTTTTAAAGCCCAATTAAGTAAAAAAGGAATGATGCTGACCTGAATGCTTTAAGTACCTAAGAAGTTACATGAATGTAAATCATCTAAGGTGCTATAGAAGTGCAAAGTATCAGTTGCAAGAAAACTTCCTTTAAAATAAACCCAGTGAAGAATGAATGATCACATTTTTGTGGAGTAATTAAAAAAGACTGTAAAAGGAATAAAGGAACACTCAGTGCAAAATTCCTAATCCAGAATAAATATCAACAGGACTGTTAATGTGCTGTTATGCTTAGTGTTCACAAGACAGAAGTGATGCTGCTTCTTTTTTTTTTACCCTAATAAACCTGTATTTCTGGGTTTACCCTCCCTTCCCTTCTCAGAGCCATAACTTACCAGTGGGAGTAGTGACCAGTTTAGTTGTCATGATAGTCCCATTACTGCTAACCACCATAATAGGTGAATTGCTACTGCTGGGCAAGGTCGCTGTAACTGGTTTGGGAAGGATTTTACTGGGCTGCACCTGTTGAGTGATTATTTTAACACCTAGGAAAGGAGAAAGGTCACTGTTAAAATACAGGCACGAAAAGTTATTTTCTGAAATTCTTTCTCAGACCAAGCCCTAGTGGGCAAGTAGCCTCACAAGGCTTCTAATTCTGAGCCCATGTATTCTTGATCCTGAAAAAAATTGTTTGTTTGTTTTAGTTTTTTTTGTTTTCTTTAGTAAATAACAAGAAAGGCAAAGATTTTGACTGTCATGTGCCTGTTTCAATTACTACTCACTCCCACTGAGGCATGGGATTTCATTCCATCATTGATCTGTTGTAGTGATTTTTAATTTTTTCTGGTCCACGATTAAAATAAAAAATAGAACATTTCCCAGGAACCAACAGGTTACGACCAATACTGAATTGGTTCATCTACAGAGAACTATCTAAAAGTGAAAGAGCTGTTCATTAATTTAGTCTGAACATTCTAATGTGTCTGAACTAGCTTAGTTGAATTTCACCCATAAATTCTTTTTTTCTTTCTGTACAAAGACTGTTAGTGGATGTAAGGAAGCAACTGTGACACTGGCTAGGGAAGGTTGATTTAAGTAAACTGCTCTCTCTGCATTTACTATCTTGAAGCAGCCAAGGGACTGGGCAGAAACAAGCTCGAAGTAGAATCAGCAAGAACAAAGAATGAAGACATCTTAGTACAGCATGGATTCTGTTCCCTCTCTCTTGTCTTGTGTAGCAGAATGAGACCTCTGGGAGATTCACCTCTCAGATGCCGACCAGGAGATTCATCTTATCTGTTCAAAAGTGTATCCAGGACACTTGCACCTTAAGTTCTCCTCCATGATGAGGTCAATGTGTTGCATTGTGTTGGTCAAGTGCCATGATGCACTCAGCCTGAATTAATCCCATTAATCCGAAATATAGGCACCTGTATTTGTAGCCAAACATTTCTAGGTGAACAATTTTGTCTACTTGGGATGTCAAACATCCTCTGGAGATGTTTCCTTCTTTTTATGTTGACTATAAAAGCAGTGCAGAGCAAGTAAGCTCCAAACTTAACTAAGGAAGTTAGGAAGAGAAACTGAAGCCTTTGCATCATCCAGACACAAGACTGGATTAAAAGCAAAATCTCTAAGAAAACTGATGCACATCTTCCACAAACAATAGGAATCTGATGGTATTTCCAAAGTAACTAAAAAGAACACTGAGCCTAAAGCCATGGTAGAAGGCAAGAAGTAAAGCTCCTATTGATCAAACACTGTTAAGTGACAGTAAAATGGAGGCTTCTTCTCTGTCTTCAGTAGTGGATATTTTTTCTTAGGCAATAGTCTTATAATCCAAAAGGAAGTTTATCAAAGGTCAGGAGTAGGGCTGTTTGTTTTTTTTATCATAACACTGTCTCCTTTTAATTCTTTGATCTAAATAGTATGACTATAAAATAATAATTCTACTGACACAATTAATATAAATAATAGACATAAAAATACTTTGCACTTGTATAGCACCTCTTCCTTTAGAATTAGGTAACTTTACAAACAGTACTTCTTTCTACACTTATGGAGATAAGAACTGTATTCTAGAGCAGAATAAAGCCAACACAGAAAGATTATATGACTTGCCCAAAGTCAACTGACCAAATCAATGTCACAAAAAGAATCCAGTCCAACTTCCAGTCTCAGATCTAATTGCATTTGACAACTACCTCAAAAGTTGATTTCTGGACCCAAGGAAAGAATTAAAACATGGAATAACATCATTTTGCAGTTGCTATAGTTGAACAGCTCTTGGATCTTCAGAGAACTGGTGTCTTCCAGGTTGCTCATCACATTACTTTTGAAGATACTTACACACCTTGTCTCTAAAGACAACATTTATTCCTAAGGCATGGCCTGTATACCTGAACCAAACAAGAAGAGTGACTAAATCAAATTCTTCAATCATTATGAGCTGAAAACATTAAGACATCCTTCACTACCTACTTATATCCAGGTTTCATGCCAAATCCTGTACTCAAATAATGATGCCACAATGATAGCTCCCCATGCACATTTTGGGACAGAATTCTGCCCTACTTGCTTGAGTTGTGGTTAGATCACACCAACCAGCAATAATGCCCCAAGATTAACTCCAACTACCTGATTCCTGTTTGATCTGAATGGTGGGCTTGATGCCAGCTGGTAACTGAGACTGTTGTGGCTGTTGCTGTTGCGCTACAGAAGATGGCACCAGCTGTTGTTGCTGCTGCTGCTGTTGTTGTTGTTGCTGCTGGGCCTGTTGTATTTGGTGCAGCTGCTGTTTGGGGGACTGTTGATGCTGTTTGGGAAACTGTGCTAAGATCTGGGTTGGATTGCCAACCAAACCTTTTGGGGAAGGTAGTCTGGTAGAGGCAACTTTAATTGCTGATGTAGACACACCTGTGAAGGAGTAAATGGTTTCAGATTGAACAGTGCAACATGAGAGAAAAACATTATTATTTCCTAACTACTTTTGCATTCAAGCTGTCTTTACAACTAAAAGATGGCACGAGTGAAAAAAAGCTCCCACATAACAAAACAGCTCTGTTTAGAGGGAGATTTCTACAGATTTTTAATGTGGCAGCAGAACAGCAGCTAATGGAATTTAAGGAGCTGTGTTTAGGAAACTTCTTTTTGTGCTAATAGCTCAGGTGACAAGTGACAAAATAATTAAAACAAATTTGCAGTTAGATGGAAAGACAAAGTTCCCAAGTAAATCTTAATACTTATTTCTGTCACTCAGAAAAGTAACTGGATTGATTATCACTTTATGTCACCAAATGTTTCACCAGCACCTTCTGCAGTGACACTGCTGATCTTGAAAAAACTACATTAAGATATTACACCTCATCTATTTTAGAATTATACCTTCTTCCATGATCAAACCCAGTTAAAAACCCACAGTTTGAACAATATGAAATTCTATTGTAAGCCCTTCTGCTTTGCAGATGGATGTCTTCAGGATCTGATTTACAGAAGCAACGTGGAAGGCAAAATACCCCTTTCATCAGCCTTGATTTGGTTGCCCAACATTTTGTGGAATGGAACAAGAATGGAAAATATGGACCAGGAAAAACTCATGTGATACTTGTCAGTTTCAGGCAGTGCATCATAAAATCACAGGATGGTTTGGGTTGGAAGGGACCTTAAAGATCATAGAGTCTCAAGCCCCCTGCTATTGGCAGGGACAGCTCCCACCAAACCAGGTTGCTCCAAGCCCCATCCAACCTGCCCTTCAACACTGCCAGGGATGGGGCAGCCACAGCTTCTCTGAGCAACCTGGAGCAGTGTCTCATCACCCTCACAATGAGGGTCTAACCTAAATCTACTCTTGTCCAGTTTAAAGCCATTTCCCCTTGGCCTATAAGGAAAGGCTGAGGGAGCTGGGTCTCCTTAGCTTGGAGAAGAGACAGGGTCGACCTCATTGTTTATAAGTATGTAAAGGGCAGTGTCAGGAGGACAGAGCCAGGCTCTTCTCAGTGGTGTCCAGTGGGACACCAGTAGGACAAGGGCCAATGGGTGCAAACTGGAGCATAGGAAGTTCCACATCAACATGAGGAAAACCTCACTGTGAGGGTGACAGAGCACTGTAACAGGCTGCCCAGAGAGGATGTGGAGTCTCCTTCTCTGGAGACATTCAAAACCTGCCTGGATGTCCTGTGGGACCTTCTAAAGGAGATCCTGCTCTGGCAGGGGGATTGGACTAGATCCATCTTGTGAGGTTCCTTCAAACCTCACCCATTCTGTGATTCTATAACTAAATGCCCTTATAGAAGTCTCTTCCCAGCTTCCTGGTAGGCCCCTTCAGGTGGGCCTTTAGTATTTTTTAAGTGTTGGTCACTGAGGCCCTTTCATTCATCCACAGATTCCCTTCCAAATGGTTAGGAAGTGGCTGTGCAATCAATCAAGCCAGCATATAGAGTCTGAATTAGAAATCAGAAACCTAGGAATTTTAATCCAGGCCCAACTCAGGTCTAAATTTTTAAGGACTTGAAAACTGAGATGCCAATAAAATGCACATACAAAAGGTGTAAACACCTCTCTGCCTTTCAGAATTGTTAAGATTAGCTACCATGAGAAATATTCTAGAGTAGGCACATCAAGCATAAGTTGCATTTTTGCATGTTTTTGTAAATCAGGCTTTAAGAGAAGCAATCACCTTCAAATATTGGAAATATTTATTTTCCACATATCAGATAAACTTCTTGAAGCAAATAATTTGAGGCAACAGTGTTTAAATGCTGCATGCAAGATCTTTTAAAAATAAAAAGCTATTCCACACCACTCTACCATATTCTCTTCAAAAAGAGGATCTGCACATTAATTGCTGAAGAGTTCAACAAGAACTTTTGTGGAGCATCTTGGATGAGTTTCATCAGTAGACTTCTCTCACCCCTCCCCTGTGCTATTCTCAAAACAAAGCCCAATTCATCAGTGAAAGAGCTTTTATAAATATGTTCTTGCCATCTATTTATTTTTATCATATTATTATTAAATGTTCATCAGGGAAGAGCTTTTATAAATATGTTCTTGCCATCTATTTATTTTTATCATATTATTATTAAATGTTTGCCATATTTACCTTGTGCTACAGTTGACATAACCACTGATGGTGTTGATGATACCACAGCAGTCACAGCAATAGTATTTGCAGTGCAGGAGGCAGTGGAACAGCTACTGCTGCTGCTACTGACCAAAGAGGACTGAGAAGCAGTAATAACCACTGGTTGCTTTTGAGTAGTTGAGGCAATGACTGATGTTGGGACAAGTTTCGTAACAGCTGCATAGTTGTGGGACTTGGAAAGGATGTTGGGTACAAAAGTTGAGCTTGGAGAGGTGGTTACTATGATCACCTGAAAGAAGAGAAAGAAGAAGAAATTCCTTTGTTCTTTGCATTTATTCAAAAGCATAAGGTTTCTGTAATATATCTTTTGTCTATTTAGCTTTAGGGATACATGTTTATTAAGACCACTTAAAAGTGTCATATACATGTTTCCTGGCAACAAAGTTTCAGTTAGCTTGAAGTAATAAACATTTCCTTAAAATTAGAAGTTTGTTGTTTTAGTTTTGTTGGTTTGTTTTTTTTCCCAGGAAAACAATTACTATCAAATTAAAGAAGTAGTATCTCATGTCTGAAGGCAAATAGGAATGAAATGCTTGCCTTTGTTAAACTGGGCCAGGAAGCTTGAAGACCATTTTAAATAGAACTGAAAGGATTTCAAGCAAGTTTTTAACACTGTTCTCCCAAACCTTGTGCACACATCAAGAAATGACAATGAAAACAGATATTTTTTTTCTCTTTAACCATTAACAAGCAGTTGCTGAGTCAGTAATGGGAAATATTTTTTATTCACAAGGCAGTAAATTATCAATATTTCAGTGAAAAACCTGGTTTAAGTTTAAAACAATTTCTGCCTTCATTAGTGCTTTCAATAACAAGAAATTCTTATCTGTCTGAAAACCATTTGTCTAAAGACAATAAACATTACTCCTAGTGTGAGTTGCAATTACAATGCCATGAATCTGATTTGACAAAAAATACAGAATCATTATAACATTGGAAGAGGTCTGTTCTTAAGCAACTGACCTAGAAAACTAAACATTTCTTTGGTATCAAATATAGGGACTGTTTAAGTAAAGAGACTCCTTTTATCCTGCTGAGATGTACCTCCTTGGGCTTACAAACACACAGTTAGAATAGAAACACAGCACAAAAATAGAACATATTTTCAGTTTACCATGCGAGAACATTGAGAAATTGTTTGAATAATGCAATTGTCCCAATGAATATTTCATTTATTGAAAACCTTGAAAATTAAAAACTTAATAATGGTTTGATGTAACAACAGCACATTGGGGAAAAAAAAAATAAATAAAAAAACACAACAGGAGTAAAAAAGTCCTAGGTCAGCTCAAACTAAAAGCCTTATGCTACCACCCAAGGACCACTGAAACCTTGCCTGTTAGAGAAAAGAAATCATGATAATGGCACCAGAAACAGACTTCAGTGACAGATCAGGCAGCAAGGGATTAAGAGTCTGTTGTTTGTTTGTTAAAAAAAAAAGAGATAACCACATGGATGGAATAAAAGCAGCAAAATTTACCACTGTGGCTGCCCCTGCCTCTCTTTTTCCCCAGTGCTTGGAGTTTATGGTCCCCACTACTTAGCTAAGCCTTTTAATATTTTGATCTGAGAAAAATCAAAACCTTAATACTTCCATGAGCTACAGCAGGTTGACCACAAGTGACCTTCCCTGAAGGTTTCTACATCTGCTGTTCTGCCACTTTATTGCATTCTCCAGGAAGAACACTTTCTCTACGTCACTCTTATTTTTCCTTCTGCCTGATTTTAATTTAATTAAAACACGTGTCTGAAATTGCTCTTAGGCTATGACCAAGCAGCCAAGCTGAACACAACACTGCTTGATTCCAGTGAAAAGGTTCTGTGATGTGCCTCTTGAGTTCCAATAGCCAACTAACACTAAAAACACTTCCCAAGTGCTTGAATTTTAGGGCCAGCTCCATTCCACTTAGGATACCTGCTTTAGGAATACAGCCAAAGGACAACTTGCAGTTAAAAAAGGCAGATTATTCACATTAAGCTTCCTATATAATCTAGAGTGTGACAAAGCAAGGTCAGCATCTCAACCAGTAAGTACAGACAACCAGGATGAATCTGGGCATAATCACAACTCCTGATCACCACTGTTCTTCAGTCAAAGACAAAGGATAAAACTATCAGTCCAAGATCATCACTTAATAACACTTAATTTACTCATGCAAGAAAAAACGCTTGTAAAGAATTTTAGTTTAACAATGATTGCTGTCCCATGACTAGGTTTGAATTTCTCTATATTTCTTCTTTTAAAAGTTAACACAGCAGAACAAACTTCAGGGATCTTCATGTGTGAAATGTATCCAGAAAACAGAAATTTCCAGTAAAAACATAAAAGAATTAAAGTTCTAATCACAACAATTATGTCAAAATGACCAAAGCAACCTCCCCAAAAATGCAACACATCTTCTACAACAGAAAGACTTCCAGTACCTGAGGGGCCTACAGAAAGCTGGGGAGGGGCTTTCACCAGAGAAGGCAGTGAGAGGATATGGGGGAATGGTTTTAAACTGAAAGAGGGGAGATTCAGGTCAGACATCAGGAAGAAATTCTTCCCCATGAGGGTAGGAAGGCACTGGAACAGGTTGCCCAGGGAAGCTGTGGCTGCCCCCTCCCTGGAGGTGTTGAAGGGCAGGTTGGATGGGGCTTGGAGCAGCCTGGGCTGGTGGAAGGTGTCCCTGCCCATGCAGGGGGTTGGACCCTGATGATCTTTAAGGTCCCTTTCAACCTTCACCATTCCATGCCTCTATGACTTCCCAATGTAAAAAACAAAAAAAAACAAAAAGAAAGTTGATTTTTTGTTGTTGTTGATTTTAACTGTTAAGGTAAAAAGTACTTCCTAAAATACATTGAAATTAGTCCTGTCAGTTCTATTTTGAGAGACATCAAAACCTAGTCCCTGAGGAAATAAAGGCATTAACTGCCAGAGGCTCCACTAGTTCCCTTCTGTCCTAGACAGAGGTCTTCATTGTAAGAGAATCCAGAAATTGGAGCTGTGACACTATTAGTTGTTCCGACAAATCTTCCTCCAACCTACTAAAATGTCAAAACAATGCAGAGAGCTGGCATGCAGAAACAAAGAATTTAATTCATATCCAACAACTTCCCTGATACCCAACTGCACTTGTTTAAAATAGTACATTTCCAATTTGAGTCTAACAAGTCTGACATTTAATTTACAACTACTGAAAGGGATTTCTCCCACCAAAATGATCCAGTTGCATATTTTGGCATATCTACACCCAACAAAAGAGGGTAGTGTGAGAAGTTCAGACACAAACACTATTACGGCTCCCTAATGAAACAAGTGATGATTTTCCTTAAAGAGAGTTAAATAATAGTCTGCAAAGCAAATCCTAAATTGTCCCTTTCAGAACAAGCAGAGGCACAACTGCAGAAAAGACCCTACCAGCAGTTCATTCTCTTCCTTTTGGAGATTTAATACAGCCCAACTTTAACTACCATACTATAAAAAAACCTAATACTTTATACAACACTACAGAGGTATAAGGCAATAAAGTCTTCCTTCACAGAAGATGAGCCTAAGAAGAGCAACAGGAGAGGAAGGTTAAGCCCTGTCCTACCTGTGGATTTGCTGCACTGAAAGAAGAACATTTTACTTGATGGTTTATGCTCACTCACAAATTTCTATGCACATCTTCAGAGATGAAGTTTGATTAAGGACACTGTTAAAGAATTGTGAATCAAATGAAAACATCAAGAAGCTCTGAAGCAAGAAAAAGCCAAGAAAGCAAGTTCTTTATTGCATGTTAATCTTCCTTGGTTTTAAAGATTCCAAAACCTGGGACATGGGAACTCTGCTGATCCAAACAAGAGTCATAAAACAATTAAGATGACTAATAGAACAAACACTGAGTGAAGGTTTGAGCTCAACAGTCAAACTCTCACAGTTGGAAAAAAATGCTTGTTAGTGGACAACCTACCAAGAGTCTGTCAGTAACAAGGCCAAATTAATTCCACAGACTCTTCCCCAACCCCAAGTCTGCCTTAATTAATAACTGCACCAAGAATGAACTTGGTCTGAGTCATTAATCTCTTTTTAATTCTTCAGAACAAAAAAGTAGACACATCTGAAATGCTTCCTAAAGCATGGGAAAGTAGTCATGCCATAGATCAGGCACATAAAACCTGAGTCTAATATAAAATTTCAGCACAGAAAACCTCTTCCATACACTGCATTCTGGTGAAAGCTGGGCACACTCTGCTAAAATAAAGCAACTGATTTTGACCACAGTAACACTGTTAATGTAGAATGAGAAATGGCACACTAGTACTGAAAGGAAAATAAAGCCCCCCAGCCTCTGATCAGCTCCAAGAATAAGCTTTATAGACACCAAGAAAGTAAGTCTCTAGACAAAAGGCTTGGCAAGGGAAAGCCCATGCCACCTCTCTTGGAATTCTACTACTGCAAAGAATAATTATAAATAAAGGAAAATAGAAATAAGAAAGATTACCTTTGACCAATAGTTGTTACCATCTGAAGGCTGTTCAGTGGCCTATGTGATCCAGTTCTCAGTGGACTAGTGTCCATATCACAAAACCCAACACCACAAATGGTACTAACTGGCAACCTTGTTGGCAGTCTCACCAGAGAGGCCAAGAATTGAATGAGCATGGAGACTGAATCCCCTCTCATCCCTAGAAGTGGTCCCTTCAGGTCAGGGTTGAGGCACATTGGTGGGGCAGTCTGGGGGAAGCTTGCACTCCCGCTGCCTGTGCTGTACCTGTTCTGTGGATAAAAAGAGGGCTTCAGTCTCCACGGCTGTCAATCCAGGTCCTTTCACACACAGGTGAACTAAATTCATACAAGAGTTTGGTTTTCTCTCTGTTCGTTTTAAAGAGGGAATTACCTTATCCCAAGTGCAATCCTTATTAAAAAAAAAATACAGTTCACAGAAAGGAAGAGTCAAACATCACATCTTACTCATTGATAAAACCAGAATAAAGTAACATTTGGCAGCTCCCCCCACATACCTTCTGTGTTGTCGTGTTTGTTGTCTGTGTTGAGGGCTTAGTGAAGGTTATTTTCACAGGCGACATGTGTGGTGGCAAGGAGTTGGCAATGCTCTGCATGATATTACTCATCTTGGGGCTGCCACTTACAGGCACTGTGATAGTTTTAGTGACAGGAGTCACTGCCTTTGGGACTTCTTTCAGGAGAACGGGGGAAGAACTAGAAGAATTCGTTCGCCGTCTTTTGCGGGGCTTTTCATCATCATCTGAGCAGCTGACACCTGGAAAAGAAGTACTTCTAAATGATATTTTCCCCTTCTGCAGCTCTCAGTGCTTTCTAAAACATTACCACTTGCTCAATCTTACACTCACTTTCAATTAAGAGAAAAAAGGCACAGAGGACAAATTATTGCTTATTCACAACTAACCTGTATCACTCCATAGATGGTTTTAGTCCTTGATACAGACCACACTTCGAGTGCCATAAAGCAAAGAAAGAAACCCTAAAACCCCCAAGCTCCTCAGTTACTGGGTTACTTCATTCATTTTAATAGACTGAAAGAACACAAGAGCCACTACAGGGATTTCATTCTGTCTCCAGAAGCTTGACTAATGAGACTCTGCACACAAGAGGTTTGGGATAATGTCATGCACATTTCATCATGCACATTTCAGCTTAAAACTCTACACTAGCCTGTTGTTGTTGCTGGTTTTGTTCACAGCAACTGGACTACTGAAGCTTCTCCTCTTGCAGTCTGCTTGGATTTCAACCTTTGTACATACTTGCATACCATCCTTATCATTCCAGTTTCCTTCTCCCTTTCACCTTAATACAGCATCTTGAGATCCTGCTTATTTTCTTTAATTATATCATTTAACTATGAAGGTCAAACCTCACTTCATCAGCATCTGCCTCCTTTGGTGTGTTTTGTGCAACAGAGATAAAACAGCATCCAACACACAATCATAAAAAACAACAGAAATTTAGCCTCAAATGTGTTCATTCTTCCTCACAATCATGCATTGCACATGTAGAAAAACAAAGTATGCTGCAATATTCAGCTAAGCAATGGATCACCCCTCCTGCAGAGTGATCAATGGATCTTAAATCCACATGAAATTCTTCTAAGCAGGCAAAAGGTTCATAAATTGATATACATTACAGAATAACATAGCTCAATTACCTTGAAAATCTTACACCCCTGGGTATTTATGTTTAAGAAATTAAAGGGTGTTAAACAACTGAAAAACAGAGATATGCATAAAATACACAATCCCCCTACACAGAACAAGACTGAGGGTGTTGTTTTGTATGCCTGGGACTTACAGACAAAAAAAAGCTGTTATGGTAAAAGGCAGTTTTGCTGGTAACCCAAGTAAACTGGGTTGACAGTAAATCTCTAATTAGGCTCAAGATCTAATTATGGTCAATCTCTAATTAAAATAATGAAATATTCTGGCATTCAAAAAGTGAAGACACAGGAATGAACATAGACAAGAAAGTGCTCAGTAGCACAGCAAGTGATATCTGAAAAATGGAATTCTCTCTCAGTACCAGGTGATTTGCAGGTACACTTCAGAAGGCTGACAGCTGCATGCACACAAAGGATGGGAGACTGAACTAGAGAAGGGAAGAAAAGGCTTTAAGTTTGCTTTCAACTCCAAAAAATACTGTTTGCAGTACACATGAAGTGTGGATCTGCAAGTCCAGATTTCAAAGCTCTAATCTACAATTTACTTTATGGCCCTGAAGAAGCCAAGCAGTGATCTCCACCTTCAAAGCAGAGATCTGGTTACCTGACTGCAAGGCCTACTACAAACAGGCCTTGAAGAATTACTGTGACTGCACTACACAAACTTGTAACTGTGAGGTCAATATTCACACTAAAAATGTGCAGCAACTCCAGAATCTCAGAATCATTCCAAATGAAAAAACAGGAGGCAGCTAGTATATTTGGACACAGCTGTTATTCTGGTAGGTCACAAAGAAATACTGAAGAGGAAGTTTCTGGTCCTCAAAAAAAACCCCAAAAACCAACCCAAAACCCCAAAAAACAAGAAGGCAGAAGTAAGAAAGTAAGATTAAATTAGCAGAATATTATTTTATGCTAAATACAGCTCATGACATCTCCTGTTTCCACTGCTGGGGTTCTGCAAGAACATTATTCCTAGAATTCCATGTTAGAAACTGCAAACATTTAGCTGAAAGGTAACAGCTCAACTCTAACTCACACTTGATGAGCAAGGAAGCAGAGGCATGGAGAGGTTAATGGCTCAGTCAGACTGTGACTTGGATGAAGCCACACACCAGAGCAGTGGCAAAGTCACAACTGTAACTCAGGCCTCCTCAGCTTGCTCTTAAGGTTTGTTTAAACTAATGTGACTGATATCACACATTCTAAAGACACACAACTCCTTAAAAAGAGGGTAGAAATGAAGCATACAAAGTGGAGGAAAAAAAAAAAATCTAGGGATGGACAGAATAAAAATGAGAACCTTTTATCCCTCTATCATGTGTCTAGACTGGTTTTATACTCATTATCATGTAATAATTCAGCAGAGGTCTAAATTAAATTTTTAAGAGGTTAAGAACATTTCCCCCTGAATCTTTAAACTAAAGCTGAGTTATTAGTGCATTAGATCAGAAAAATTAAAAATTTCAGTGTAATGTTCTCCATAGCTTGACAGAGTCATTAGAAATGGTGGTTTGAAGGTAAGATTGCATTTACATACAATGTCCTATTTCTGACTAGCCAGAAGCTAATATAAACATGCACATAAAGATGAAAATATTCTTTAAAATATAAAAGGTATCCACAGCAAGCACAAAATGGCACTTAACTTCACCTTTGTCACCTGTGTTTTGATAGACACTGAGTAAGAACAGAAGGAAATATTTTTAATGATTAGTTCAATAAAACTACCTTTGATGAGCTAGGCATATATATGAGGACATATCCTGCTTTTAGAACTAACAGGTTTATTAGCCAAAGAAAGAAATGGGGAGAGACAAGAAAAAGACTGCTTCTAGATATTATGCCCAGGATTTCCAAATTTAAATACATGAAGATGAGTATCTGGTGGAATTTCACATGGAGTTTTCAGTTGCCCAGGACTGCAAGCCTCACTAAGATTTGCTTCCACATAAATCACCAAGTGGCCAGACATAATCTTCTAAAAAAGTCTAGGTTAACTGTGAAAGTGGAAAGGAGGGACCTTTTCTAACTCAAATAAGGGACTATTACGCATTATTTAAGCGGAAGGAAGAGGGAAGACCTCTGCAGAAGCAACCAGGCTTAAAAACAACTTCTGAACAAGCTGGATTAGAAAATCCACTGATATACAGATTACATTTTAAAAATGCTTTTCACTCGTGTTGTCTTTGTCATGACTGTTCCCTGCAGCATTTTACAGTGACTGGATTTATCCTGAACACAATTGCTCTGAAAAAGGGAAGCAATAAATTCATTCCTTAGACTAAATGAAGGCATAAAGGCATTCCATGACTTGCCCAAGGTCAGCGAGTTTAACTCAGTCCATGCTTCAGTCACAAGCCTGGCCCTTTCTTTCCCTTTTGTTAACCAGTTGCTAGTATCACTTACTTTTGACGTAAACAGTACTTCCACTTGGCAAGACGACTACATTGGAGGCTGGACTGGCAGGTCTGGGGGACTTCACTGTTGCTACACTGCCACTTGGAACAGGGGTAGATGTTGGGGTTGAAGTGGTACTTGTGTAGGAATAGCAAACCACCACTGAAGAGGAGAAAAGACACCTTCCGTATAACTGAAGTGCAGAATCCCATTATTCTATCACTATTTTAACAACTGAAATGGAAGCCAAAGACCTATTTGGTCATTATCCAAATCTTTGCCTCTGCAACCCTGTTACTGTCAAGTTAGTCCCCAGTTTGATCTAAGCACCACCACGGAATGACAGGCCTTCAGAGAGAAGACAGAAACCTCCCCTTTTCCCCTCCCCAGAAATCTGTGCTGCTGATTCTAGATATTTTATTTGGTTTTAATCTGTTACTTTACAATTTGTTATTTTTCATTTAGCATTAGTTATTTTGATCTCTTTGCTTTTCTGCAAATGTCCATATCCAATGTAAGTGACAGAAAATACCTTGTGCCACTCCTCAACATGATATTAGTTGAAAAAAACCTAAATATTCCTTTAGCAGTGAACAACTGGGTTTTTTAATCAGCTTTTTAAACTGTTGCTTATTGGTACAATGATCCAGTATTTCTCACAAAACCAGAATTAACCTATTTCAAGAAGTGTTACACATTCTCCAGTTGCATGAAGCATAATTGGGGCCTAGTCAGTCAAGATGGATGGGATGTGTACTAGCATTATTTAAAAGACATAGGGAAAGCAAAAAGCAGTCTTTTAACTTGGTATATTTAATATGAAGTCAAAAAAGAGAAAAATCCCAACACAATGTTCTTGACTTTCACTAAAACCTACTTAAATCCTTAACACAGTGTTCTGAAGCATCTTTCATCACTTACAGAACTTCACAAAATCTTAAGCCAAGATTTTATAGTCTACAGAGCTGAACAAGTTAAGCAGTGAATTTCCCCATCATTTCCCAGCAACTGTTTCTTTTATTTAAGTTGCTAGCACGCTCACTAACACAAAGCTGTCAGATTTATGCAAAGGCATCACTTTTATTTAAAATCAAAATAGTTATTTCTGTGAATACTGTGCAATAAGAATGAAGCCTTAAAAAAATAATACTTAAAACCAAAGATAAAAATCATAGAATGGTTTGGGTTGGAAGGGACCTTAAAGATCATCTAGTTCCAAACCCTCTGCCATGGGCAGGGACACCTCCCAGCAGCCAAGGCTGCTCCAAGCCCCATCCAACCTGCCCTTCAACACTGCCAGGGATGGGGCAGCCACAGCTTCCCCCAGGCAACCTGTACACTGTGACATTATTTTTATATTCCCACTGATTGCAGTAGAATCCCAGCTTCCTCTCACCTTCCTTGTTTCCAGTTTCTGCAGGAACTGGAAGAGATGAGTTGTGCTGAACAGCTGCATTGGCAACAGCGTTGGCGGTAACTGTGAAAGCCGTTTGTGGAACCAGCCGCGGCATCAGCGGCACCAGCCGACGACCTTCTATAGACCACTCAGAAGAGCTGTTTGGTCCAGACATACTAAAGAGAAATGCACATTCTGTAAGTATTTTGCCAAGTTCCCAAAATACTCAGTACTCTTATCTAAGGGCCCTTTTTCAACAGCAGAAATCTAACAAGCGGTTTCTAAAGACATACGAGAGCAATAATCTTCAACTTTCTTCATTTCATCAAAGCCCTCAGATTTTTCCCACCTGATGTAGAAATCCTCCCACAGAAAATTCCAGAGCTGCTGCTTCTGTTTTGTTTCAGAGCCGTTAAATGGCCATAGGTCTGTAGATGTCATGTTAAAAACCCCATAACTAGATTAGCTACTATACAGATAGAGTCAGTTCACACTCTGCTTCTGGATGAACCAAGCACCTAGACATCCACTAGATTAAACTGATTATTTTACAGGGAAAAACCCTCGGATTCTCATGTAAATCTTATTTTACTTGAAAAGGAAAGTTCGTCAGACTTATTCAAGTAGTCCCAAACAAAGAAACAGAACATTATTTACACCCTAGTCATATTCCTTAACAGAAACGAGCCTGCTGCCTTTTTTTTTCCTCTTAATGCTTCCAAAAAAATGCTGCTCTTTCCTAAATGGAAAATTGTTTCTCTTTATGACTGCTTTCCACAAGTCATTTGTCAAATCAGCAACACCAAAGTGGCAAATGATTTTTCACTGCTGTTAGGTTCTTCAGCAAATCAACCCATTTAATATATTAATATATTCTGAAAAACAACTTCTCATGTGAACTATTGCAGGCAAGTTATAGCAAAAGCTACCACAAATTAGCCTGTAAGACACAGAGGATCTGCTCTGGTGTTAAATCCTGATGTTTCAGCATTCTTCATACATATTCATATAGTACAAGCAGAGCTACATCAGCCGAGGTAAAAATACACTATTAAAATAAAAAAAAAATCAGACTATAAATATTGCATATAGCAAAGCTATAATAAGTTGGCTTTCCTAATGAGTTAAGTGAATTCTTTAAAGCCAAATACTGTATTACCAACCACCACTTCCAAAGAATTACCACAGGAAAAATACAAGAGGTGCAGCACCTCACAATTACACCTTTTTTGGATTATGGTATTTCATCCACTTAAAAGTCCAACACCTCAGGACAAACTTCATGCTCGTTCTGTAAACTACTACATAAAAAGGAAACTTGATTCAAGAATATAATCCTGATTTGCCAATGAAATACTTACTTTTCATTTTTCCTCCTTTTCTTTCATGAAGTGTAAGGAACTTGGTAGGTTTTGTTTGGCAAACAGCCTATTTCTAACTCTTGAAAACTGAACATTAAGCACCATAAGATTATGCTGATTTTGCTGAGTCTAGGACTAAACAACAGCTAACTCCAGGTGGCCTATTTGTACAATCTCCTTTTTTTCTCCCCATAACACCTAAACTACCTCAGTCAAACGTAAAAACTGATGCTTCTAACACAGAAAAATAAAGAAAAATACAGAGAATTACAATCCAGCTAGTAATAGTAAGACTGTTAACTACCAAAGATATATTAGCACTTGCCCTCTTGCTCCTCTCCACCACTCCAAATCATGTGAAGCTTGTGAAAGCAAATTAAGGAGGAACCAGCCCAGCTGATGCCAGCACAGCAGCTGCATCAAGCAGCGAGCTGTGGACACTGATGTCATCACTTAGCTTGCTGCACTTATTTTACTCTGACCATTTTTTTCCCCTCTGTGCTCATACACAGTTTTCCACTAGGATCTCTGCCACCTCTTTCCTTCCCTGTGTCTTTCTATGTACTTCAGTCCCTCTTAATAAAACCTTTCCAAACAGGTTTAAATAATATTAAAGGTAAAGCAAAAAAAAATAATAAAGCAAATGTGTTCATCCTGCTTTTGGATTTCTCCATTTTCTCTGCTCTCTTCTGATCTATCTTACAGAAAGCTCTTCATGAGAAAAGACACCTTCTCATATTGTACAGCAAATGGGATGCCTTCAGATCCAAAATAGGATGGTACTAAATAACAGTTTGCAGTTCCCTGATGTAAATATGATTCAGAAATTCCTTCACCCATACGCTTTTAAATACCCAAGAGGAGGTCGCGGTGAGGTGGGTGTTGGCCTCTTTTCCCTAGTGACTAGTAATAGGACAAGAGGAAATGGGGTCAAGTTGCACCAAGGGAGGTTTAGATTACGTAATAGGAAAAATTTCTTCACAGAAAGAGTGGCTGAGGCATTGGAACAGCCTGCACAGGGAGGTGGTGGAGGCACCATCCCTGGAGGTGTTCAAAAAAGGGGTGGACGTGGTGCTTCAGGAGGCGGTTTAGTGGTTGGGGGCTGTAGGGCAGACAGCTAGACTTGATGATCTTCAAGGTCTTTTCCAACCTTCATGATTCTGTTCAGTTAAGGCACAATGGATTTTCCAAAGGGTACCTTTTAGCTATCAGACAGAAAGTGACCTATAACTTACTTGTGTGCAATGGTCGTTAGTCGTTCATCATTCACTGCTCTCCGAACTTCAGCGCGATGTCGCTCGGTTGAAATACTGTTTTAAAAAAAAAAATACCCATCTATTTTAGTCAGACAGAGATATGAACATTTATCTTAAACTTCTAGCTAAAATGAAACTTATGAATAACCCACTCAAGAGATGAAAGGGAACAGGCATTTACATTTAAGAAATTGTCACTTAACTTTTGCTATCACAGTGAGGAAGAATGAATGTGTTATTGTTTAAAAATGTTACTGGAGAATAAAAAGAACATTACTGATCATGGGGTACCCCTGCAAAACAGCTAGAATCCAACCTCCTGATGGCATTTAAGACACATGGTAGAAAAATGTGCACAGAACATGCAGAGCTATTCCTTGATATAACCCCAAAGACCTTCAAAAGACCTACTTTGATGAAACTTCCAAGTACATTCATGAGCTAGCTAGCTGTCATGATTCTAACACTCAGTATCTCCCAAAACACCAACAAACCAGTAAAGCCTCCACTACAGAAGCAGAGTTATCAGGAAAACAGCTCATCAGTTCTGATTTTAAAAAGGTCAAGGTTACCTAAGCACTTTAGAGAGTTCTCCAAGAAGATCCTTCTTCTCCTTCGTAAGGTCTCCCTGTGCACGTAAGGCACTGATGACACCTGCATACGCCTCCAGTTCTGAAGAATTAGAGCAAACAGGTTTTCTATTTAATGCTCACAGCAAAGGGGGAAAAAAAAAAAAGTTATTTTCAGTGTTACTGACAGTATTCTATTAATTTTCAAAATCATTAAGAGGAACACGTCTTTCAATTATTTAGTGCTTTTCAAGAGAGATTGATGGTTTAGAACTCTCTCAGTCAATTACTCTGCAGCCTTCAGCTTTTCTATGAAACAATTGTACCATCACAGAGGATTACCTAGTTTATAAACCCAAGTGAGTATTTCAAGCTTTCTCTGAGCTGACAGTTCAGGCAGAAAGCTTGAAGAAACAGTCCCCAACTTCAGAGAGGAGCTCAGAATTCTCTAGAAACAGAAGAAAAATCTCTAAAAAGCATCATTAGTAAAAGTTCCATGGAAAAGCTGGCTTGAAATACACTTTGAAAAGAACAACTGATTTTTCCTTAGTGCTTTTCATAATTAGCACAGAAAGCATCAGTTCTAGTGTGTTAAATACAATCATCATTATCTTTTATGCCCATTTGATATGTACAACTGCTTGAATCTGAAAAGAATGCAATCCACTGAATTGAACCTGCTCAACACAAAAGAAACAATGCAGCTCTTCTTAAGTGAGGGGCCATCTCAAAGATTAACTCACAAAAATACCATTTTGATTTAAAGTGGATTTGTAATTCCAGGTGATCTAGGAAAACTGGTGTTTTAAAAAACAGAATAGCTAAAAGCTACTGAAACTTCTGAATTTTGTCCTACTAAGCAGGGTAAAAATGCACCTAATGCAAATAATGGAGTTTGCTAATTTGCCAAAGAATGACTTGCTATTCTAAACTGAGCACAATCTAAGGAAACCTTACTGGAACTCCTGCTTTAAAACTAGAAATAGATTCTTTTGATATGCAGGTGTCTTTCAGCAGCCAACCAACCCAACCCCACATCGGATTCCAGTTAATCAACAGCAAGAATGAAAGGAGCAGGCCTAAACCTAACACCTCTGGAGTTTACTGCAAAAGAAAGGCTGATGCTGTTCTGAAAAGCTTTCACATTAGGATTCCAAAGGGCTAATTTACAAATCAAATCAAGGAATTGTGCTGAAAAGAAGCCCTGCTCTCCTGTCCTGATTAAGCTGACAAAACACAAAGCAGAGTCACTTTGGTTAACGATGCAGCCTGCACAGGGATTCCAAGTGACCCACAGAAGCATTTACAGCTTCAGTTATAAAACATTTGTTAATTAACGCAACGGTTATTACAAATATCAACATTTATTTAGACAACCACGTTACAATATTTAAGATACTAATTACTTTCCTCTGTTAACAACCTAAAGCAATTCAGAGATACAACCATGTAATTATTTAGCTAGAAGTTTTGTTTTTTTCTTTCTGCATTTTTAATAGAGATCCTCTACACTAAAGCTTTAAAAATGCTCACTCTGGCTTCTTAGAAGCTAGTAAAGACCACAGAACAGCTGTAAGTAGCTTCCTCACCCATTTGTCGACATAGCAATCACTAACTGGCCCACTGTCTTTCAACACAAAAGACATTCAATCAGCTAAAGCAGGTTTCACAACTAAATACCCATTTTTCAGGTGTAAGGTGCTACCATCACCCCCTTTCTCAGTGACACAGCACGGACACTGCAGAACACCAGCAGGTACCACACACCTCGGGATGCATTTCAGCCTCACCTACAGCCCTGCACTTCACCCCTTAGGGGTTACCCAGATCAAGAAATAAAATGTTGGGCTGTGAGCTGGCAAAGCAGGACTCTAAAAGCAGATGAGTGTTGCTGGGTATGACTGTTCACTCTCACTGCCGGTGCTCCTTCCTCTCTCCAGCCTTACGGTGTGTCTGTTGAAACTGAGAGCTTCTCTACCCTAGAGGAGACACGGCTGCTTCAGGCCCTGATCCTCTGTTCTGCTGGCAGGGCCCTCTTGTGGGGACACAGCTCACGCCAGCCAAAAAAAATTAAATAAATGTAATTTTCTTCTTTTTTTTTTTTTCTTCCTGTCAGCCTAGGTTATGTCATTGAAGGAGGTGTAGCTGCAGTTCTGTTTGGCTCAGCTGCACCAGCACAGTTCTGCCAGCTGGGGTGGAAGTTGTTGTTGGTTTTGGTTTGTTGTTTTTTTTTGTTGGGTTTTTTTTTTCCATGCTCTTAGCCAGCAGAGCTACGTTAACAAAATTCAGCAGCACAGACCCAGAAATCTCCCGGCATCCTGCACTTTCTCCTAGTTTTTGTACTTCTTAAGCCTCACATAAAACAAAGGGCTGACACCTTAATGAATGCCCAGCTTAGCTGCAACGTTGTGTCTAATGTCTGTATCACCCTCTACTTCAACCTAACACAAATCCCAGATCCCCAAGAAATGAAAGAAAAAGGACAAACGGAGGGAAAATGAATTCTTGACTCTCAGAAAATACAGTGAATGAGTTCCTCGTGCTGTACTTTTTTGCAAGAACATATCATCTTTTAACATTCAAAATGAGAAGAAGAAAAGCTGTGACTTGACTGTCACTGGAAGTTAGAGGTAGTCTCAACTTTCCTCCTGACATCAGCTCTTGGATTATACTCCTCAGAAGAAAGTCTGAAAGGAAAACTCAGTTGTTGTTTTTTTTCCGCCCCGTTCTAATACTACACACAACACTTAACTGGCAAAAAAAAAAATCCTTAACTAAATAAAAATGAATCCATCTCTAAGATTTAAAGAATTACTACCCAAGATCAGATCAATGGTCTAACACAGGATTGTTAGCCAAAAGTGGATGAGAGCAAAGAGTAAATATGTTTATTATCCTCCAAAATACAAAAGCATTACTCCTCAGACACCTGTATTTACAAGGACAGAGCACAAAAAACCCCCCGTATCTCCCAAAATATATCTACTGGGAAAGCGTCTCAGATGTTGAAACACATTTGAAGCAATGCAAAAAGCTCCTGCTGTTATGACAGTTAAAAAAGAACATTGTTTTCACAATTTCCTGATAATCTGTGTTAACTGCAAACCACAAATCACTATTATTTTCCTACTGATTCAAGTCTTTACAATATTGACTTTACTACTTGAACTCAGTCCCACCATGTCAATCAAACCAGGGTTTCGTGATTTTTTGGGGTAGAGAAAGGTGTCTCATGCAGAACTGAAAGAGAAATTAAGACCTTCCTCTCACAAAGTATCCCATTGCATATTAATAGTCTAGTCTAGTGGGAGGTGTCCCTGCTCAGAGCAGGGAGGCTGGAACCTCATCATCTTTAAGGTTCCTTCCAACTTTCACTATTCTGTGATTCTCTGATAAAAAGAACAGCAATGCAACACTGGAACACTGAGGCAGAGATGGACCAAAACATCCATGAAAGATTCTAGCAAACCAAAACAATTCTGCTCTATTCATTTTGCTCAGGCAGAGAACATCTGCCAAACATCATTTTAAGCCAGGGCTGTCAAACCAATGACACATGCAAAATGCAGGAAATGACTTGTAAGTTGCCTGTAGACATATTAAAGTGTTTCATGGAAGCAGTAGGCAGGCAAATCTTAAAAGGGCAAACATACAGACCCACAAATTGTTATCTTACTGTACCCAGTTTGCGAAGGATCCTCTTGCACTCATCCCTGCTGAGATCCAGAAGAGTTGGCCACACCACAGGCATCTTGCCCTTGTGCCTGCACTCCCACAGAGCTCAGCCTCGCTGGGAACAAAAAGGAAAAAAAAAAAAAGAAGAAATAGAAATTGCAGTAAGCACGAGTCCATCACGTATTGATTTCCCAAGCCGATGAAACGCAAACTCTCTTCAACCTGCTCCAAAACTCCACCGACACATTCACTCACTCCCATCCCTGCTCCAACCTTTGCAATGGCATGTTTTGCCATGCAGGAATTCAGCAGCTTCACAAGGGCACGGACTTCCTGTACTCCTTCGCTCAGATCCAGCACCCCAAGCCTTTTCACCGACTTTTCTATCTCCTCCTTAAGCCTTTTTTCTTCTTTCCAGAAAGGCTCTCCGAATTGATGTTGAAGTCTCCTCCCTCTCTTTATGCACAGAGCACCTATTATAAGAACTCTTCCAGCTAACCGCACGCCACCCCCCCCCCATCC